AGGAATATGACAGTTGTAATCCCTTCGTTTGATGTGTTTGAGCTCTTGACTTTGCCACTTGATTAGGATTTATATCTAGAAATTGACTATGAGGGTCGGTTGAAAACAAAACTTTACGACAAAAGAGATGATTTCAGCTTCCCAGTAGTGAAGTATTGGGAAGCTGAAATCATCACTTCGTAAAGTTTACGGACGCCATCACGAGTTGGTTGACCGTTATGGAATATCTGTTATATAGATGATATTAGATATGTTCCTTATGTCGTAACTGCAATCCCGTTCCCTTTTTCCGAATGTGACCTACAGAATTAGACTTCTTATCTTTATTTGAAACATTTTTACATATTGTGTCTGTTTGTTTTGTTCACGCATCATTATCAACATTATTAAATTTGCTGCGACTGTCGTACAAGTGAGAGGTTTAGCGCTATAAAACCAGATTCAATCCACCATTTTCTACATTTGAAAACGCCTGTACCAAGTCAGGAATATGACAGTTGTTGTCAATTCGTTTGATGTGTTTTATCATTTGATTTTGCCATGTGATTAGGGACTTTCCAATTGAATTTTCCTCGGAGTTCAGTATTTTTGTGATTTTACTTTTTACAGCAATCTTTAATATGAAGCCTGTAAAGGAAATTATTCAGATAAATTACATCCTCTATATAAAAAATATTTCAAATACCGGTCAAATAACTATATATTCATATTTTGAAATACGTTCAGCATTTACCTGTTTCTTAGTCATTGATGTGGTCTTAATTAAAAATTAACTATTTGCAATTCTTTATTTTTTTTTCAAAATACTGAAGAGTGTCTTACCTAGGAATATATCACTTTAGCTGTATTATGGCATAACCTTTTTGGAATTTCGGGTCCTCGATGCTCTTCAGCATCGTACTTTATTTGATCTCATAAACATTTTCTATTCGAGCGTCACTGATAAGTCTTTTGTAGACGAAACACGCGTCTGGCGTACATAATATTATTCCTGGTATCTATGATGAGTTTAATCAGTACCTTTGTCAAATATTCTTTCAAACATTTGTCATATTCTAGAGCTTGATTTTGTAAGCAATCAACATACAGCATTTAAAACATTCATTTCAAAAACTATCCATTTTTCGAGAGTAACAAACAATTAAAGATAGAATATGTGAAATCACAAAAAGTAAATGAACCAGACAATGACCTGGATTATAATTAGAAAAAAATACAGGATAACATCTGCGTGTTCAAGTTGTATGGATGGTCTTCATTAACCGGGTTGTGCTCCTGACACAAACACTGTTCAAGGTGGTCATAAAGAAAATCGACTGAAATCGACACTACATACATTTTTCGGTCATTATCACGAACTGGTTGACCGATACGGTATGTCTGTGCATTTTCAACTCAGAAACGACATGACAAATGTAAAGCAATTAAAAAAAAACAGAGAATGAGAGAGAGACAAAGAGATTAATTGATCGGCGGGAAAAGGGCAGATACCTCAATAAGTTGATTCCGATATACACAGTAAAATCGAATGATCAAAGGATACTTAATATAAAAAACACTTAAAATGTCTAAAATCCATTTGATTCATAATAAGGTACTTGAAGATACCTTAATGATACTTATATTATTATTTCCGCTAGAAGATCCATTGAAGGATATCGGGTGCTATTTTTTTTTTTCAAATAACAAGCTTTTTTTCATATTGCTTTAAAGGGGTAATATATAAATTAAGGAACTTAAAAATCCGAAGAAAATGAAATGTCTGTGTCTATGTTTTATAGATATAATCATTTATTTTTTGGCGGGGAAATGATTCTCTCTAGATTTTTCATAAACTTAACTGTGATGCCTTTATTCTTTCAAAACTATGAAGAAATAACAAGGATTTTATGAGATTTTCCCAAAACTGCCTTTTAAACTATATATAATAAAATTATGAAAAGGAAATTAGGAGTTAGCAGACAAAATATTTAAATGATTATCAAAAATGGGAAAACTATTACCATTTAAAATACACGAGCCTACAATTACTCAATAAAACATTTGACATAAATTTAAAGTTTCTGGAATAAAGGTGTGGTTATGGTTATGGTGTCCTCTACATGTTTTTATGTGTGTGAAAGGGGTTGGTTTTCTTTTTTTTTTTTTTTTTTTTATTTGGTTAGTTGGTTGGTTGGTTGGTTGGTTTGGGGGGGGGGGTTACAAAGCATACATGTACATTTTTAAGGGGCTCGAGATTAGCAAACAAATCCCAATTTTTTGGGATTTACCTTTATCAGGAACGCTCAAAGCCGAATATTAGAAATCCAAGGATGTATATGAACTCAAACAGTTGAAGAGCTATATGACCACATAGGACGTTAATAAATAGCCAAATCCATTTAAGGTCAACTTTGCCTGAGGTAGTTGAAACCTTAGTTTCTTGATAATTTCTAAATTTCTAAACGTACCCGTAGCAGGATGAATTCTGTTGAGAATAGAGAATGCAAACAACAGCTTAAAACAGTTTATTCCTGACGGACTTACTGACTACAGATGTCAAATGAAACATGTGTAATACACTTGAATAACTTACACAGCGTTAAAAGCGAAGAATATACAAAACATTTAAATAGTCACAATTCTACGGTTTTCCGATTACACAATCCCAAGATTAGTTCTTGGCAGCAGGACTACCATTACTGGTGGGATAGGTTGCTCAATAAACTCTGTCACAAATGTAGATAAACACTATTTATAAAATTATAAAAAAGTGTAATGCTCAATTTAAGTTTCAGTCATAATTTCTCACTAAAACATTCGACATAAATTTAAAGTTTCTTGAAGAAAGTTGTGGTTTAGGTGTTCTGTCCATGTGTTTGTGTGAATGTATGTGTATGCGTAATGAGTTGGTTATTTTTTTTTGGGGGGGGGGGGGGGGGGGGGGGGTTGATACAAAGCAAACACGTACATACTTTTAGGGAATCAAGAGTTTAGCAAAAAAATCAAAACAATCTGTTTGCTTCGTCTGAATTCTGACACAGTTATATACACAATATTTAAACAAATGAATGCTACTAGTTATAACTTTTATTCTTCCAAAGGGCTTTTCTGGACGTATCTTTATCAGGAATGCTCAAAGCCGAATATTTGAAAGCCAAGGATGTATAAGAACTGAAACATTTGAAGAGCTATATGATAAAAAAATGACCTAAATTAATAGCTAAATCCATTTAAAGTCAACTTTACCTGAGAGAGTTGAAATCGTAGTTTCTTGATAATTTCTAAATTTCTAAACGTACACATTGAACGATCAATTATGTCGGAGAATAGAGGATGCGGATAACAACTGAAAACAGTTTGTTCCTGACAAACAGACTGACTACAGATGTCAAATGAAACATGTGTAATACACTTAGATAATTTACAGAACGTTTAAAGGAAACAATAAACACAACATTCAAATAGTTACCATAGTACGGCTTTCCGTTTAAACAATCCCAAGATTAGTTCTTGGCAGCAGGACTACCATTACTGATGGGTTAGGTTGCTCAAAAGACACTATTATAAATGTAGATTAATACTATTTAAAGAATCATGAAAGGTTCATATCGGTAAACATGATGGTAGATAAACAAAATATTTAGTAGATATATTATTTCAACATTCCGCTTTCGGTGGATGGATATCTTGCTTTTTCTCAACTGAATACACAAATTAATTCTTATAGGATATTTATGAAATTTCTTTTATTTGGAATTACTGAAAGAAAAACGAAATTTATGTTTATGTTTAGAAGACTAACAAGGTTGAACTACACTGAATCCTCCACAAAAAACTGGATTGTGTAAAAAGCGCCACAAAAGCAATTACCAAAATAATACTCCAAAGTCAGTTCCTTATTGGCAATTCATGATTTTACATAATAAATGAACATCAGGTAAGAACAATTTTTAAGAATTTTCAGTTGTCTTACATGTATATGTTTTTATGCACCAACGCACTTTTACTTTATTCTTTGTTGTAATCATTTCAAAGTGCTGATTTATACATGCATGTTTGAAAGGAGAACAACATGCAAAAGTATGAAAATGAGAGGCAAAAGATACCAAAGAAACATTTAAACTCATAAGTCGAAAATAAACTGACAACACCATGGCTAAAAAAGAAAAAGACCAACAGACAAACAATAATACACAAAACACAACATAGAAAACTAAAAACTGGGCAATACGAACCCCGCCAAAAAACTGGGGATGATCTCAGGTGCTCAGGACGGGTAAGCAGATCAATCTCCACACGTGGAACCCGTCGTTTTGCTCATGTTAGTACAAACCCGGTAAATATGAGGTAGTTCACATTCGGGATTGTAGTTACGACAATTGAAACATATCCGCTATCATATGTGAAACGGATATTGCATTACGGTCAGCCAACTCGTGATATTGTCCGTAAAATTTGCAAAGGGATGATTTCAACTTCACCACTTCGAACTCTTGGTCTAATAACTTCCTTTTGATCATCAACCCTCTTTCAAACAAATCATAATAGGAAATACAAGCCCTGGAATATCGTATCAACTGGGAGGTATATACTCCGTATGCAGTCGCTGCTGGAATGTTGCTACATAGAAACTGAAAGTTCACAATTGGAAAGCTGCAATCATCTCTTTTGTCGTAAAGCTTTATTTTCAACCGACCCTCATTGTAAATCTCTAGATGTTAGTCAACATATGAGGCAGACTTAACTGTATTTGTTGTATCATGTGTTCAACATAGTCACAAAATTTTGATGAACGTAAAGAATTCAAATAACTAATATAATGAGTGTATACTGAATTACATTCAAAGTTGAAATATTTATACGAACTGTATAAAGAACGTGGATTTGACTTTTTTTAAAGTTAAGAAAATGTTTATGTTTATACACAAATCACTTGTTTCATTCTAATGTCATGAAAGATTTGTCACATGTTTTGCACATTATCCATTCAGACATATTTGTGTTTATTTCAGAATATTGCTGCATGCTTATTTTGTACAGTAATGTACATTTATATTGGAGGTAAGAAAACTGTAAGTTGAAAATGATAAATTATTGTTTCTCATTTTGCCGACTTTTCTGCACTGTTTTTTTTAACGAAATAACTGGTGATTCAAATGCTTACAGTTATATCTCGAAATTCGCGAAACTTCCTAATATTATTGTGACGTCACTTATATAGTATAAAACATTTGATAGTTTGATTTCACTTACGTATGCCAAAAGAATTAACGCAAATTCACAACTTATGATTCAGATGAATATACAGCCTTTGTACTATTATATTTGTTACAGGTTATTTAATTGAATAGCAATAACGATTTGAATAACTAAAAAAAAGTAATCTTAAATTTGAGTCGAAAATAAAAATCCAGTGGACAAAAAGGAATGACGTATTGGTAAACGAAGTGCGAACACCTAAAAGTTTTGAAAGTTTAAGCCATCACAGGGTATGACGTCAGATATTCAAGAATAATAAGCTTCCATAGAAAATTGTGCACGATTTATTAAATATGAAAACACCAAACAAACAATACAACAAATGTGCAAACGTAAAAATATTATCAAATTATAACTTATATAAAATACGATGTTCTTGGTTGTTTACGTAAGCATATACATGCTAATTTTTCAGAGGCCAGAACTGTGAGACATAAGAGAGCTTTATGGAACCTAGCATATCAATTAACATATCATTTTGGAGCAGGTCAAGCTGCTTCACTTTTAGACTACGGTTGTTTTTGTGGATGGTATGGTGAAAGCACCCAACTAGATGGCGTGGATCAGTAAGTATGCATAAAGGATACAGTTTAACAATATTAACAGTTTAACAGTTATAACTCAGAAATCAACAATCTTAACACTTGCAAACACAATGGATCAATAGGTAGCCAATTTGGAAGTAAAATGTCTGTCCAATTCAACATACCCTAATTTTTACATCACGAAAATTGCCAAAACTTTGTCAAAAACGCACCAACGTTGCAGTTTTAGTTCATTATTAAAAAATCAAATTTGGGTTCAGATAAGGGTCCTGTTCGACAATACGAAGTATCTGTTACAAGAATAATTGAAAATATAGTTGGTACACAAAAAATGCCCGAAAAAAATGAAAAGTAGTCCGATATTATGAACAAATGTATAATCATTGAAAATTAATAAACACTGAAGAGACAATACAATATCTCTTAATTATATTAAGAGAAATATCAAAAACAATACAGATTGTAAAATTATGACTGTTTAGTGAATGTCTTGGATCGTTTTCTATCGTATATTTTTTTCAATCATTTAAGAGAAATTCAAATTGAGAGTCCTTATTTCTGTATTCTCTTATTTTTAGGCCATTTTTTTCTATTCTTTTGTTTGCTCATGTTCTTTGATGGAATACACTGCTTTTTATTTGTTAGGTGTTGTAAAGACCACGACGATTGCTATGGTTGTGAAGATGCATGTTGGCCTAAGACTTGGCCTTATGCATATGATCTCCAGAACAAAACAGTCAACTGTCAAGGTAAATTAAACAATGTCGAAACATATTCGTATCATTTTTAATTGGTTGAATAATTTTAACTGGAGTTCTTTCACATCAAGATGTTTGTGAACTTTTATCATGTTTATGTCTAATCACATGTCATTTTAGTTTTGAAAATAACAAAAAGCTCATCATGGATACAAGTTTTATATTTAGTATGCAAGACACGTGCTTGTCTACAAAAGATTCATCATTAGACGCGCGTTTTGTCTACAAAAGACGCACCAGTGACGATAGAAACAAAAAAATTAAAAGGCTAAATAATGTGCAAATTATCACAATATTGTAATCAGGGCATGTGCCAAAAATCACAAAACTCTGTCGGCTTAACGCTGCAATTTTATCACAATCTTGCAAATGTTGAGATATTATAAAAGCGAAGCATTTGTGCTTAAAAAAACTGGCAATACAATTACTCTATCAAAATATCCAAATTGTCCTCAATATCAATGCACAGCTAAATAGCATTAGTTGTAATGCTAATCGTTGACATATGATATAAATAACAATCTTTAATATTGAAGTTCCATTACATTTGTTTTATACTTCCCCTTTGTAATAAAAAATATACCTGTATGTGATAAATTTAGAAATAAACGGGGTCAAACTTCAAGACACTTACTTAAAATTTCGGGTTCTTGGACATATATATCCTCTGAACAGACATAATTCACTTTTGTGTTTCAAAGATAAATACATGGGGATTTTTGTAAAAGATTTAGAACAACTTTGCTACGAAAGAAGTATATTAAGTTGGGTAACAATTTTTGGTAATTAATTTATTTTTATTAAATTTTCTTGATTTTGGAAAAAAAGGCATTTTTTGCTGTATATTTATCTACTTAAAAATTTTTTTTAAAAATACATCGGTGATTTCTTCATAAAAATTGGAACAAATACTCGTTATACAATATCAAGTCAAATGTTATTTTTAAAAAGAGGAGTCCACGTACTCGTGTTCAAGCTAATGATTAAAATAACTCGAAAAATGCCTCTTTTCCCGATATGTCGCTGTCTGACGTCTCGAAAAGTAACGGTTTACGTTAGCAACGTCAATATCTCCCCTGTAACTGTATCGTATGCCCTTAAATATTCAAGTTCCACTAGATTTGTTTTATACTTCTCTTTTATCCATTTTTACTCTTTATCAAAGTTTTCCATTGCTTTCGGAATATACAGAATTAATACTAGTATTATTGATGGATTATTGACTAAAGTCAAATAATTTTTGTATATTCGGGACGAGATCAAATAAACAATTACATGCAATTGAACGTTTGTGCAAGGTACATATGTGACCCCCATAGACAGTGAGACATTGGGACTGCAAATGGAAAATAACTGTGTGTTGGGTAGGGAAAACATTTGGCATTTCCACCTAGGAACCCTTCAGAGAGTTGTTGCACGGGATCATTAAAGCGCAGATAGCGTGACACTCACCTTAAACCGAAAATCTAAGTAAACTTACCAATTTTGTCCATACATGAATGGACAAATACAAATCCTGCACAATGAAATTTTAATGACGAACTTTATAAAATCAGAGACTACCATATTTCTTTACCCCAGGCAACACACATGTATCAGTCAGGATTTTACTTCGTCAAAATTATCTCCCCATTACGCCACATATTTTTTCAATCGTAAAAAAATAAGCCATTTTAGGGATGACACGCTCTAAAAATTAAAGCTATTGTAGGGTTAACCCGCTGTAAATTTTACTCTTGAAAACCGATACATTTATCTACACAGCATCATTACCATGATAACGACCATTATATGAAAGTTGTATTTTCAAAAAGTGTTTAATATCTATTAAGCATCACTAAAATGCCTATACTCAATTTAAAACTGTTGTCTGATCTGTTGTCAGGGGAAATTTATGAAAGTTCAAAAACTTTAGAAAAAATTCTAATTAAATATTTCGTGGAAGGGCAGACTACAATTTTTAAATGTTGAAGACTTTTAACACTAGATAGCACACACAAAAATGAATTTTGTTTGAAGTTATGTATTTTGAAGATCAACTTGTAAAGTCTGTCGTCAAGTACTATTAGTAAAATCTTTATATTCTAACACACCTACTCTGTTGTTACGACTCATTAGAAAGGTATTTCACTTGACTCATTTCAGTTTTAGTATTGTAAATCTTTTATGGTATTATATCAATCTGTAGCCTAAATATATATATATATAAACATAGAATCTGAAGCGAGACGATGTATCACATATGTTTTCAAGACGAAATAGTCATTTCAAACACGCCTGAACATAAAAGGTGTACTTTACTTTTCGTTTCCGAAGCAGTTATTGCCCATTTCCCAAAATAAAATTGAGAATGGAAATGGGGAATGTGTCAAAGAGACAACAACCCGACCATAGAACAGACGACAGCAGAGGGTCACAAACAGGTCTTCAATGCAGCGAGAAATTCCCGCACCCGGAGGCGTCCTTCAGCTGGCCCCTAAACAAATATATATACTAGTTCAGTGATAATGAACGCCATACTAAACTCCAAATTGTACACAAGAAACTAAAATTAAAAATAATACAAGACTAACAAATGCTAGACGCTCCTGACTTGGGACAGGTGCAAAAATGCGGCGGGGTTAAACATGTTTATGAGATCTCAACCCTCCCCCTATACCTCTAGCCAATGTAGAAAAGTAAACGCATAACAATACGCACATTAAAATTCAGTTTAAGAGAAGTCCGAGTCTGATGTCAGAAGATGTAACCAAAGAAACCAAAGAAAATAAACAAAATGACAATAATACATAAATAACAACAGACTACTAGCAGTTAACTGACATACCAGCTCCAGACTTCAATTAAATTGATTGAAAGATTATGTCTTCATCATATGAATATCAGGCTCAATCCTTCCCGTTAGGGGTTTAGTATCATACCATCATAACATATATGAGAAGAACATAACCCGTGTCATGCCAACAACTGGTTTTTAAATAAATGTGTTTAGTGCCGATGCAAAGACCCTATAAGTGAATCAATATTAACGCCAAAATATGCAATCTTTAATGACCTGACAACAGTATCGTAACTATATCCCTTCTTAAAAAGTCTATTTAAAGGTTTTGTTAGCTTCAGAGGTGAATACTGACATTTTTGTGCTTTATATGAATGTGATATTGATGTGAAATACCTGAACGTATAAGAAGTCTGCATGTTGAGCTTTATTTACGAATGATGTCCTTATACCGATGATTGTCGCCGGGTGCAGAGATGCAAATCAATGCTTTAAAAAGAACAATTCTATCTTTCCGAGGATTTTATTTTCGGTTGAATTTATGCTTATGTACAAACAAGATCCACATGTATTTGCACCTACAACAATCGACTGTTTTGTGAAAATTTGTCTTTAGTTTAAAAGTCTACAAATATCTCGAAGCTCCGTACTATGCTTTAAGTAAAAACAAGTATATAAGATACATAAAATCATAAATCAAGCACCTACATTAAACTTTTAAAGCCCATAGAAAAATGTATGATGTAAGCAGTTCAACTATACCAACTTGGCCTTTCTTTACCTTCTCTAATAACGATTTCCATTTCTTTTCTTTAATTTCAACTTGGTATCAGTCTGCTATCTTCATACACGTGTATCGCACAATGAAGAAAATGAAGAAAATGTAGTTAATGTGTTGTATCATATATAATTACAATATAATGTGTGGCAATGAATGAAATATGATAAATAAATAAGTCTAGTTGCGCTTTGTATTATGATGTACGAGAAAACAATTATTAATTTATTTCTGCTTAGATAATTTTCATCTCAAAGATTGTCAACGCTTACATTTGAATATTACAAATTGGCAAACGCTTCATCTGACAGAAACATATTACTTTTTGAATGTAGCTGCATCTCAACCATCTTCGCTAGCCAAGGGTTACGATCCACTTCCCTCCTCTCCACCCTTGGCGGATTGAGATAGAATTTCGGAGACACAAGGGTATGATTTTCATTGGTTGCAGTCGAAATTCGCTGCATCCAATCAAAAAGCGCCTATAACATGATCACGTGTAAATGAAGAAAGTGTATGTAAACCAATTGGCACGTGCTTATTATGCAACAAGTCTTTACATCCCTAAACATACGACTATATTTAGTGACAATTTGAATGTTTTTTATCAATTAATAGAAGTTCCTGTGTAAGTTTCTTGCACAAATGCATGAATGTCAACGTATATTTTCGTTTCCTGCTTTACCAAGTGTGTAGAATCTAGACGCTACCGTGTTTTTACCTCCAAATTGAAGAGTTCAAGTGCTACCATTGGTCAAGAATAATGTATTCGGAATGGGCGTGACTTTAATCTACCGATAAATGGCGCAACATTGTTATCACAAATGCTGGCTTAATCTGCCAAGGGTGGAGAGGAGGAAAGTAACCCTTGGCTAGCGAAGATGCATCTCAACGTATGATCGGGAACAATGCTAAATTGTTTCTACAACCTTTGTGGTGTTCTGGTTACGTGCTTGCCTCGACTGCGGAAAGTCGTGGGTTTGAACCCCGGTCGATTCATAAGACTTTAAATAAATTTAATGGTAATTACTGCTTCTCTGCTAAGCACAGAGCTTTAAGGAGTTAGAGCAAATACTGATCGGTTCGGAGTCGGAATAATGTGTCCGGGTATTTTACCGTGTACACTAGCACGTTAAAAAGCCAGCTCAGCATGTCGTACTAGTACAAAGCAGGGTTAATATTTATATAACATTAACATGTTCTCGTCTCAACTAGTGTTGTTGTTATAATTATGTTTATTGTTATTATTATGTTAATTATGATTATCATATTTATTTATTTTAATCATTATAAGTATATTAAATGTTCTTATAATATCTTTACTTCCAGTATTATGTTTATTTTAAAAAGAACGAGAACAAAAATGTGATCTCTCAATTCGTGTGTTTGGTACACGTATGAAGAATTGTGCCTTTATTATTTCAAATCTTACATTACATCAAATGAAGTATTTTTTTTTTATAATTTCAGTGTAATGATATTTCATTGTTATATTTTCAGATAGTCGCAATTCCTGTAAGGGGAGAGTATGTAAGTGTGACAAAACATTTGTGGACTGCCTGTATAACAAAGAACTGAATCCGGAATATTACAATGTAGACAAAGATACATATTGTGATGATGATAAATAATAAATGTGCTAACCAATTAAAGTTTGTCATTTTACTTGAATTACCATTATCACTTTGCATTGAATTAATTTTTTGATGAGATACAAAGCAAAATATGTTACAGACAAACACGAGTTTCCTTTGCTGTGCGTAGTAAATTTTATCAATGTTAATATGAACAGAATTTGAGAAGCTCTTTTTAAAAATTTATAAAATTCATGATTCTTTTTTAAAAAACAGCTTCGGACGCATATAGTTGCTAAAGTGTTATTTCATTCAAAGGGGCTTTTTATAAGTACTCATATAGCTTTTGTCCTGAAGTTAAAGATGGTATAAGGTTTAACAAAAGAATGTTCAGTACATTTATAATGTTTACCTAATACATATATATATATAATTGTTTTTGCAACATTGATTATTTGTAATTTCTAAATGAATTGACAAACATTTTTTTTTATTTCAAATAATTTATAATCTATGCTTAGCTAAGGTGTCTCGTCCTTTGGCGTTGGGTATGTATATATATGCATTCCCGTCCGGCCGAACTACTGGATACGTTTTAATTGAATGTCTCATGTCAAGTGAAGGCGATTCCTTCTGCCTTTTAAGGAATATGAAACAATTCATTTAATAGGTCGTTGATCGTATAGTATGAACCTAAATATCTGTCCCTTGTCAACCATACTCTCACTTTCCATTAGCAGCTTAAATTTTGAACTTCATCCAGAAAGCGCAAATTAAAACTTTGGATTCGTGGTGCGATTTCATTTCGAGTGGGAGGTTTGAGTTAGCATGGCTTTATATGTAGTGGAATTATGAGTATAACTTCCCGGGCATGTTCTTCCAAATTATTACTTACCATTTTTGTCGGGAGTAAGAAAACAATGAAGGGTTTAAAAATTAGAATAGGACATCGCAAAGTTTCGGTTGAACAATAGTTGAAAATTGGGTTTACAATTGTCATAGAAAACGAAAGACACATATATTGTACATTCAAAAGTAAATCCTTGCATTTACAAACTTTGATTTATTGTGATTCGTTTTGGAATCCAAATAAAATGCATTATTATGATATAAGTTCTTAATTAAGATTGAAGTGCTAATACTAATCTATTCGAACACTCCTTGTCAAACTTCTTATCGAATATCAAATCCAGAATTAAGACAGAAAAATACTTTCTTACAACTAGGATTTCAATTAATCCTCTCAATAGTAAACGAATTTTAGTATGAAAAAGTCACTTTGAAATAAACAGCTCTTAAAAGTCTGAACAATATAATATCATATTTGAAAAAAACGCACGTGTAGGGTATATCATTACATAGAATATATAAGACGCAATCCCATATGATCTAGTAGCTAGAACAGAGGCACTTGATAAGAAAAAAAAAGAAACTAGTACATGTATATACTTTAATATAACACAAGGTACTTTACTGGTATTTTTAAAGAAATACCATCCAGTTACCAACTTCCGTTATATTTCGATTCTGCGGTTGTCTATCACATTGAAACTTGTTATGTCGTAAATCTATCTAAAATTAAAAACCAATTGTTCAAAGAACAATTGAAGGTCTTTCCACATCAATTTTCTAAATAATTGATGAGAAGATAATTCTGGTTTACTCAAAGCTACTATTGGCGTCCAATCATAGGTTTCTTCATACTGATTCAATAAACATGGTTTCTATAGACTTTTGCCTGAAATAAGGGAGATAATTGTCAACATCCGGTTTAGAAAATGTCACTTTCGGTCTCATGTGATAGCTTTATTTACACTGATTCCAAAAAAATATGGTTTATATATACTTTTGCCTGTAAAAAGGGATATAATTGGCTACTTCCGGTTTAGAAAATGTCACTTCCGGTCTCATATGATAGATTTATTTACACTGATTCCAAAAATATATGGTTTATACTTTTGCTTGTAAAAAGGTAGATAATTGGCTACTTCCGGTTTAGAAAATGTCACTTTCGGTCTCATATGATAGCTTTATTTACACTGATTCCAAAAATATATGGTTTATATATACTTTTGCCTATAAAAAGGGAGATAATATGCTACTTCCGGTTTATAAAATATCACTTCCGGTCTCAAATGATAGATTAATGTATGACCATTCAAAAAATATATGGTTTCTATGTACTTCTACATGAAATAAGTGCAAAAATGACTACTTCCGGTTCACTCAAGGTCACTTCCGGTTGACATTTTTCAAGGTCATATGTCACCCAACATTTTGCAAAAGATCTTATGGCTTTATCATGTACCAATATGAATTAATAATCAATTTACCTTAAAATAAAACATTTCAGGGGCAATAACTCCAATAAGATGTCGCTGGATTGTCTCAGACCAAATGTATCATATCTTCATCACAATATAACAAACATTTTGCACTTGTTCTTTAACATATAACATTAAAAATATCGGAGAAAATGCAAAAACAAGCAAAAGACAAAATTCAGAACTTGACCTTGACCTTTGACCTTGACCTCATTTTCGAAGTTAGGATCCAAGGACCTTAAATAAAAAGACTATAGGTTTATATGGCTTACAGTTTATGAGTAACAAAAACATAACGACAAATTTATTTGATAAAGGTAGATAACTCCTATAAAATTTCATCGAATCGCTTCGATCCAAATTAGCCAAAAATTACTTAGGATGTAACGAACAATTTGTAAAAAGAATTTTGTCGATATCTTTTTTGTTACGAAAGAGATGCACACAGATGATAAACAGTGAATAGGGAGATAACTCTTACAAAGAAAATGGTTCGGCTTAGCAGGGTGAAATTTAAAAGCGCATAAACTATACGATACAATATGAGAAATATCTAAGCGACATATTGCGAAACAAACATTTATCGCAAGAACAAAATTTGGCAGAAGAAAAAAAAAAAAAAAATAATAATAATTAAAAACCAATTGTTCAGAGAACAATTGAAGGTCTTTCCACATCAATTTTCTAAATAATTGATGAGAAGCTAATTCTGGTTTACTCAAAGCTACTATTGGCGTCCAATCATTGGTTTTTTCATACTGATTCAATAAACATATGGTTTCTATAGACTTTTGCCTGAAATAAGGGAGATAATTGTCAACTTCCGGTTTAGAAAATGTCACTTCCGGTCTCATATGATAGCTTTATTTACACTGATTTCAAAAATATATGGTTTATATATACTTTTGCTTGTAAAAAGGGAGATAATTGGCTACTTCCGGTTTATAAAATGTCACTTCCGGTCTCATGTGATAGCTTTATTTACACTGATTCCAAAAATATATGGTTTATTTATACTTTTGCCTGTAAAAAGGAGATAATTGGCTACTTCCGGTTTAGAAAATGTCACTTCCGGTCACATATGATAGCTTTATTTACACTGATTCCAAAAATATATGGTTTATATATACCTTTGCCTGTAAAAAAGAAGATAATTGGCTACTTCCGGTTTAGAAAATGTCACTTTCGGTGTCATATGATAGCTTTATTTACACTGATTCCAAAAATATATGGTTTATATATACTAATGCCTGTAATAAGGGAGATAATATGCTACTTCCGGTTTGTAGAATATCACTTCCGGTCTCAAATGATAGATTAATGTATGACGATTCAAAAAATATATGGTTTCTATGTTCTTTTACATGAAATAAGTGCAAAAATGACTACTTCCGGTTCACTCAAGGTCACTTCCGGTTGACATTTTTCAAGGTCATATGTCACCCAACATTTTGCAAAAGATCTTATGGCTTTATCATGTACCAATATGAAGTAATAATCAATTTACCTTAAAATAAAACATTTCAGGGGCAATAACTCCAATAAGATGTCGCTGGATTGTCTCAGACCAAATGTATCATATCTTCATCACAATATAACAAACATTTTGCACTAGTTCTTTTATATGAAACATTAAAAATATTGAGAAAATGCAAAAACAAGCAAAAGACAAAATTCAGAACATGACCTTGACCTTTGACCTTGACCTCATTTTCTAAGTTAGGACCTAGGGGTCTCAAATAAAAACATTCCAGGGTTATACAGTTAACAGTTGATTAGTTGAAAACACATACCGACAAATTTATTGTGTAAAGGTAGATAACTCCTATAAAATTTCATCGAATCGCTTCGATCAAAATTAGCCAAAAATTCCTGAGAATGTAACGAGCAATTTGTAAAAAGAATTTTGTCGATATCTTTTTTTGTTACGAAGGAGATGCACACAGATGATAAACAGTGAATAGGGAGATAACTCTTGCAAAGAAAACGGTTCGGCTTAGCAGGGTGAAATTTAAAAGCGCATGAACTATACGATACAATATGAGAAATATCTAAGCGACATATTGCGAAACAAACATTTATCGCAAGACAAAATTTGGCGGAAGAAAAAAAAATAAAATAATAATAATAATCAGAACAAATACAATAGGTCTTTCCACAGAAAAGTGGAAAGACCTAATTAAAAACCAATTGTTCAGAGAACAATTGAAGGTCTTTCCACATCAATTTTCAAAGTTATTGAAAACAAGCTAGTTCCTGTTTACTTACAGTTAAAATTTGCATCCAATCATAAGTTTCCTCATTCTGATACGATAAATTAGTAGCTTTTATTTACTTTTGAGTGAAATAAGGAAGATAATTAATTACTTCCGGTGAAGTAAATGTCACTTCCGGTCTCATATGATAGCTTCTTTCGAACTGATTCCAAAAATATATAGTTTCTATATACTTTAGTCTGTAAAACAGGAGATAATTGGCCACTTCCGGTTGATCGTAAGTCACTCGTGGTCATTAGTGAGAAGTTTATGTATCTATATTATAAAAAATATGGATTCTGAGTACTTTTCCATGAAAAAAGTGCAAAAATGGCTACTTCCGGTTTTCTCAAGGTCACTTCCGGTTGTCATTTTTCAAGGTCATATGTCACCCAACCTTTTGTAAAAGGTCATATGGCTTTGTAATGAAACAAGTAGAAGTAATAATCAATTAACCTTATAATTAAACATTTCAGGGACAGTAA